CTCGGCATTCATCGCTAGCGCCACGCGCTCCTCAACTCATCGTTCCCCACCACTTCCAGGGCCAACTCCACCTTCCTCGGCGCTCCTAGCCAATTGCCACACCTGTAGTGCTCGCCTGCTGGTGCGGACACCTCACGCCGCACCAGGTAGCCCATCACGCATCCCGCTCACGCGGATCTGTGGTATTCGTTTCAACAACTATCACGGGACCTGATCGTCGGCTCCGTCCGGGAAGCAGCAACTACGCCGAGGGACTACAACATCTCATTTTCCCCTGTCATCCACTTGTACGCCATCCTTTCCTGACCCCCGCAATTTAAACTGGCCGAATCATCTTCCCCGCGCTCGGCTCCCTCAGCATCTTCCACAGTTGGCGTTTGCGGGTCATTCCGCTTGCATACTTTCCTTTCTTCACTTCGCTCACGTTGACCTCTCCGGGCTCTCACCCACCTGGCCCCGAATATATTCGCGCGCGCCTTGGTATCCTCGCACCCAACCAATCACTCCCCGCCCGCTCTCCACCACACAAACTGCCGTCGCCCGCGCCTGCCACCCCGCGCCCGGCCACTCATCGACCTCGCGTGCAAGGACGCCACCGGCGCCCCATGAGGGCGTCACGCAACGGGCATTCATAGCGACCATCGAACCTCCGAAGCCCATCAAGAGTCAACTGAAAGCTGTCGTCCATCCAGGTGCTATTTCCTCTTTCCTTTTTCGAACGCTCTGAAGCTTGTGTCCCAGTTTAGAACATAAACAACCCGCAAAAATATCGAATAAGAAGCAACCCCTCCTCGCGAGCTGGGCTCGAAGGGAAATTCATGGGCAATGCTGATTTACATATCACGGTCTACGTACTAGTAGTTAACGCCCGTTTGTATATCAGCATCAATGAATCGACCTGGATGACATCGTGTTCGTGAGAGCTCATCGGTTGCATGGCACCCAGCGTTATAGAATTAATGTTTTACGCCGATTCTTTTGCCAAACACGGACATTCCCAATCTCCAAAAATTCCTTAGGCAATCGTGCGTAACGTTCAGGAGAGGTAGAATTCAACGAGAATCATTGATCCTCGTCCATGGTTCAACTAGCACTTTCACCTACTCCCACCCAGCAAATATAATCCCCCCCGTATGGTTGAAAAACTGGACTCGGAATTGAAACCAGCAGCTCTTGAAACAACTAGCGCATCTTCTCTTATGGTACAGTCCTCGGGAGGCGAACAACCGAGAACAACCGCATCAATGGCCCACACAGAGAGGATCCAAATATTATTGCTCCTCTAGCTATAAGTAGAATATCGGAAAGTAGAACCCCACGGTGTATATTGAGAACCTGATGGAGACTCATTCAGTGGATGACGGAGCCTGATAGAAAATTTACAACCCGATCGTTGCTAGAACATATAGGCCATCCCGACCAAAGCGCAAGAGTGAATTCCAAAATGGCGGCTGGGTCTGCGAGGGCGGAAGACGGGGGTGCATGAGGATGCATGCAATGAGCTGTAGCACGCTGATGGGGCCGGCGCTGGTACGGACTGCGTTGGCGAACCCAAGGCGAACCCAAGGGAGCTTTGGAGGGTGTTTTTGAGCATAGTGGGGTGCACGACGGCCCCAGTGCGGAACCTGTTGTGACGATCGATATAGCAAGCGCGCGGACAGTTTTGCTCAAACCCTATACCCCGTAAGTCTCCTTTCTGTAGCCTTCTCTGCTTATCACTAAATTACTTATCCAGCAATGCGACGCTGGCGACAACTGCCAGAATAATAAACATTGTATTAAGGCCGGGTCCAAGCATCACTGTCTGTTACGCCGGTCTATATGTAGGAATTCTTCCCTCCTCTGAGTAAATGCCATTCATGTTGTTTGAATATAATTAGTGTGGCATGCGGTATCCTCATGGCCAAAAAACCAGTCTCCCATTGCACATTACCCTGAAGAGAAGAGGACACTGAGTCTCGAGGCTCATATCAGCCTGCTATGCGGAGTGGCCCCCCGAGGATACAGAAACCTACAAAAAAAGAGGACTTGCAGTTGGTATTTGGTAACCTTTTACTGAAAAATAACCCTTTTGGTGCATGCCCCCAGACAATCCCAAGCACGGTGTACTTATGGACCTGGTTACTGGTATGTCTTTGGTATGTCTCTCTTTATAAAATCACGTGTGTCCGAAGCCTAAACTCTGTCAGGCAATCAGCGGATTAGCACACCAGAACGGGGACCACGTAGCGCCACGACAGTCTGAGTACCTCAGTCGAAGTGCCGGGGCGCTCCGGCGCCCCGGCGCGCTCTTTGATGAATATGATCCCGCATTGGTCGCCGGGTCAAATTGGGTTCAAAATCTCCAACCGTTTGACTCAGGGTTTCTTGTGATCCTCCTGAACTGCCTCCCTGGAGATTGGGCTTGTTCTATATATGCGGGATAGTAAGCCTTTGGTGGAGGATGCTGCACCTTACAGCCCCTGTCGGAAAAACGCCAGTCAGCATGCAACGGCTTGTTACAGCATGTGTCCTTGGAACGGCATGGGAGTGCTTCAAACGCCCAGCAGAGAGGCTTAGAACCAGTCTGACGCTGTTCAAAGGTTTGATCTGAGTTGCAAGCTGTCGCAAGTCGTCCCAGGGACGTGTATATTTTGAGGGTCAGAAAGATATTATGGGTCAATTCTCGGTGCCGTAGAGGAGTGATTTGATTCATTGAGTTGGTTGTATTTGTTCAACCACTCTCGTTCTCGACATCCGACAGCTGTGGGGCCCGTGTGAAACGCCTTCAGCCGAGCCCCTAGCCCCCGGGACGACGACCAAGGTACATAACTCTGTTGACGACCTCTGAATATTTTCACACCCATGTATGCGTATGTTAAGCACTTCATTTAAAGTAAGTTGAGCAGTCTCTCTGCTTTACTGACTTCCGTGATCCGTGATAAAAATCATTACTCACTTACTTGGTTGCGTACTGACTGAAAATGACTACTATATTAACTATGACTGCAAAGAGCTCGCCTTCACAAAGAAGAACGGGAGTGTACAAATTTTGTTACCTTTCTGGAACTTATCTCAGAAGGCGTTAGAACCCCGACGTGGCTTGGAAGCACTTCCAAGATTCCCAGATGTGTCCTGGAAGCCACCTTGAGGCATTTGGGCATCGAACGGCTTGGAACGCCTTCAAGGCCGTTTAAAGCCGAATACGATTTTTCCGACACCAGATCCCGGCATAGAACCAATCGGAATGTTCCCAGGATCACAAACCTGATTTTCCGATGCTTTCAAAGTCGTGATGTTCCCGGCCATCTTGAAATGCAGAGATCAGTCAGTTCGAAAAAAGCATAGTATGACATTATCAATGGTGAAGTAGACTCATAGGCAAAGTGCTTTTCAGAATGTTTTTCCACCGGGCGGACGGGTTGCAAGTCTAAGGTGGAAGCATATCCGCGGGCATCCCAATACTTGGGTGATGGATTAACCCACAAACACGGTCGACTCTGGTTTAGCACTTAGCCCATACTTAGTGGAGACCATAAGTTACGGAATACTGATATTCACATCGTGTTGTCGCGGCTCTACGCACCCGTGGATCTCGACATTATTGACAACTTGGAGGTCGCAACTGTCGAAGCTGCCATGAAGGCCGTTGAAAAATCTATGGAAGCGTGGATTGACAACGAACTTGCAACATCCTCTCGGACGAAGGATCTTCTCACAGGACGGCTCGAGAAGGACAAGGACATGGGAAAGTTTGTGAAGAAATCCCTGGACTTTCGGCACTATCTGAGGGTCAAGATTGCTGACCATCGCCGTGCTTTAACGCAAATGGTTCTCTCGAGCCATAGTCTTGCAGTGGAGCGGCGCCGATGGACCGAACGTGGCAAGAGCATCGTCCCACGGGAGTGGCGACTCTGCAGGTTCTTTCAAGAATCTCTCGAGGACCCTGCCCATGCAGTGTTTATGTGCGATCACCCAGAGTTGATGCAAGTTCACGAGCAGTTTCTCAAGGCCCTATACGAAGAAGTCCCCGAGTTCAGAGGTCATTTCACAGATGTGATGACCTTCTTCCAAGCTGTTCTTGCGCGCAGGGAAGTAACCCCAGTGTTGGCGAAGTTGGCATTCAACGTGCTGAAAATCTACGATGCTGCGCCAATGTTCCTGGTGGAACCACCGGCAGCAGAGCCTTGATGGTGCTTACCTCAAAATTCTTGTTGGCAACTTGGTTGTCTGCCCTCAGGCAAATTATTTAATTGTTGGCTCTGTGCATGCATTCTGCAAAGGGACAGACATACAACAACTTTCTGTGTGCTGGTGGACTCCGGGGATTTTCACCTGGGAGGAGAGAAATCCTCCCACTCACCGGCATACTCTGCTGGTGGTCAGGTCCCACGAGGTTTTAACTGGAGGTCCAGCCCATAAAGGCCAGCCAGTCCACAGTAAGTGAGCGTCTTGTGTGATCGACCCCCTGGAATGGTGTGTGCTCCGTTGGCATCTTGTCATGCTATGTAAGGATAACCACCAGTACATACCTACATGTTTGTCTTCGGTAAACTCTTAGTTCAGGCTGTGGACCACACAAGTATAATATACCCCCCCCCCCTGCAGAGTTATGGCTTATCCCTGCCAATATTTGAGTGAAATCCACCAAAAGGTATAGCTTACCACAGAGTATGAGTAGTCTCAATCTTGACACCCAGTTCTTTCAATTCTGGCTTGCCGACTTGCTGTTCTTCGTCTCATCTGTGGAATTTTGATCCTTCTCCATCGGCATCAGAATTCTCAACTACTTACTGATCATGATACTTCCTGCGCAGTCATCCAGGCTTATTTCCTTCCTGACTCAAATCTACAGGGTCTTCACATCCGAAGCCCCTCATTTATGCCATGGAGCATTTCAAACTACACCGAGATCCCGATCATATTTTGCAAGGCCCATATCTCGGCCATCTGTTATCCGACTCTCAAACGTGTTGGACTGCTGTGATGCCCTTGACCTCGTTCACCTGAAAAGTAACGTCACATTCATGGTGAAGCGGTTATCATGCTTGCCTTCCACAATTTGCTTACGTAATCTGAAATAATTACCGGTGCGCGATTAGTGAGCAAGCGGCAGGGGTTCGACTCCCCTTGAATGTACTTTTTGTTGCTTTATCAGCTTTGTCGCTATCCTCCCCATTCACACCGCCTGGGACGCTTGTCGGATGCCTTGGAGTGCGAGTGCCAATGCAGGATCAGCAAACTGTTTCCCAACATGGGTGACCAGTGTTTCAACCATCAATTTCTGTCGTTTGGGATGATGATATTCAGCCTGCAGAAGCATTCCAAGCTTATCCGCTTGTTTTGCTGGGATTGATCCAGTCATTGCCGGGGAGAGTTTCTCAGGAGCAAATGCCGTTATGCACATTTTTCAATCTAGTGTGGGGCTTCGGCCTGAAGAAAATATTATCTCATTCCATTCCTATCGGTCATAGGCCGCATACCCACTAAAACCCCCCTGTGCAGGTCCAGTCATCTGGCACTGAATCTTCATCCATGAGTAGGCCACTCCAAGTGTTCAAGACTAGTTGTTTTTTCAACCCATCAATCTCTGTTCATAAATCGGTGTATGGGTTAGTTGCCGACACATTTTTAAAGGGTCCTCGCACTCCAGATGTTATGGCAATAAGTATTCATGATCCTCAACCTCGAAAGTATCCCCTTCCAATGCCCACTAATCAAATTTTACCTAGGCCATGCCTCGCCTCGACAACTGAACGCATGCCCGTGTGAACCAAAAATGCAGTCATTGAAAACCAATATAATAGCTGATGCCACGGCCTCTAGGGGGGCATTCCTTTTGCCAATAGCGAGTTTGGATGAGTATACATCGTCTCCAAAAAATCGAGTAGTCGGGACCAGCGCGGCACTAAGCCATTGCTGAGCGGTGGAATTTGGGTGAAATCTGGTAGAATCTAGATAGGTAAATATGGAGATGACGGTGCCCACATCGATCTGACCAATCGTCTCAGTCGGCACGCCGGAAGTGCACACCATCGACCTGACGACGTAGGTTAAGCGTCCTACTGACGCGCTCCGCGTCGCGCTGAGCCCGCGCCGTAACTCGGATCACCCATCACTTTGGCAACACACTCCGACCCAAATAAAGCCACGATCACACTCCTCCCTTCCCCCGTCTCACTTCGTATACCCTCCCGCTTCACGCGCCTTTACCCCTCGCACTGCCTCGAATCGCCTCAAGGCTCCATTTCGCCCTATTTCTCCATTCCATCCACCCTCAGACCCGCCGCAATCGCGCGAATACCCGACTCCCGCCTTATTTTCTATTCAGTTCGCATCGCCTCATCCCCTCTCGAGCATTCGGATATAGCTACGTCTCACTCTTATTTCAATCTCGCTCCATTCCTCCCCTCTCGTCTACTTTGTATAAATACAGTATAAATTACTGCAATAAAACACTTGGATTTCCCCCAACGTCACGCTTCGCCTCCATCTCGCCTACGTCTCGCCTCCGTCTCACCTACGTCTCGCCTCCGTCTCGCCTCCGCCTCCGTCTACGCCTACGCCGCCGTCCCACACTTCCGTCTCCATCCGTCCCCGACCTAATTCGCACTCGCCCGGTTCGACGTAGTCAGCCGCCAGCTGTCAGCCACGGCATCAGGCCCTGTTTGAGGCGCTCGCACACTTGTACTGTCTTTCCACTTCTGTGCCGCTTACCCATATTAGGTTTGCTCGCGCTTAGACGGAGGGTCAGCACGTCACTACAGCCTGCTGAATTTAGGATGCACCCTTGTCCGCGGAATCTCAACAGGATCCCGGGGCAGTAGTGTGAGCGCCGAACGAGGGAGGTAGAACATTTCACGCTGCCGCCCAGAGGCGTCTGAGATTGGTGGCAATTATTTCGTCCTGATTCGCCCAAACTCTTCTTCTTCCGACGACCATCTCAATCCTCAGGAGACTGCCTGCTTGATATTGGTCCATAACCACCGCTTGGATGCAATATTACGCTCAAACATCAGGGCCTACCCCCACTCATGCTCGCCCCGCGCCTGCGCGGCCGGCGCCAGCCGTTTGCCACGGACTGACAGAAACGGGCGGCTGTACGCTGCTGTACGGCGGCTCCCATAGCCCCGGGAGTCTGCAAGGTCCACCAGGAGCAAGCCGTATGGCTTCACCCTGCACCAGCATGGATATCTGCGGTGGAGCGTCGGACACACGCAGAGCTGCGCCTCTGCTGCGGGTTGACGAAGGCGTCTAAACTGTGAGGAAACAGAACCAGTGGGGTCTTCCTGTTTTTCCACGATACGGAGAACAGCGGGGGTGGTCCCCGCCCCGGGTCTAGAGTCACGGCAGCGGGGGTTCTAAGGGAGTGGTTTCGCACTTTCGACAGAATATTTGTGGAGTCGACCGGGTAGGGGCGGACGGAGAAAGACAGGCGCGCGAGGGAAGATCAGCGACGGGAAGAGAGGGCGCAGGAGGAGCACCAACAACGCGAACGGGAATCCAAGGGGCACAGCGTATCGGAGAAAATACGCCAGCTAGAGGAGCAGCAACGGAGGGAGGAAAAACAATAGGGTGTTTCACAATTGACTTTTTGACCCCAACTTGCGCCCCAACTCCAGCCTCAACTTGGCCTCAACTTGCCTCGAGTTGAGGCATGAGTTGGGCACTTAATTGTGAAACACCTGAGCAGATGTTTTCTCGGAGTTGAGGCAGAGTTGAGGTTTGGGGATCAGATCTTGTGCTGCAAGCGAAGTTGGGGCTCGAGTTGGGGCAGAAGTTGGGGCAAAGTTGGATGTCAAGTCGAGGTCCTACCCTCGACTTGACATCCAACTTCGATTTTCGTGCCCCGACTCCGACCCCAACTTGCCCCGAGTTGAGGTCGAAGTTGAGGTACGAGTTGGGCCCCAAAATCCAATTATGAAACACCCTAATGGGAACAGCAGCAGCGGGAGAAACAGGAAGCGAACGAGAGGACCCGATGAGAAAGAACAGCGCATCTCGAAGAATGCGGCGCGAAGGCTTCACCCGATCGATTCAGCGTCAGCCGTTCAGTTATCTCGACTATCGCGGACTCCGATCGAGCGCAACGCGGTAATTGCGTGGAGGTCGTCATTAAAACGACCAACGCATTTCGTAGCAGTTGAGGGACTCGGATTTAGTATTAGGACGGAATGTGCTGTATGTCAACTGTATCTTTTTAGCGTATCCAAGGCACAATTTACTACGAACGTTTTACGTGCTGCTTAGGCACCGGATGGGACCGCCAATAACGGGAGAGGTACGATCGATTAACGTTAATGTCACATGTCAAGGTAGGTTCAAAATTCACAATCTGGCCTACACTCTTGTTGAGCGACCACGATACACACTATGGAAGTCCCAGTCGCGACGATACACGTAGTTCGAGCGTTGGGGTCTTGCTTCTTCTTTTCCGTGTCCGTCAAGCGTCTAAAGTAAACTGCAATGCGGTCTACCCTCCGAAGTCCTGCAGAGAGAGTTGGGAGTGGGTCGGAAAATATGTGAGGAAAAAGGTACCTGCGGCAAAGAATCTACTTAGACTCGCACACCACCATCGTAGATCGGACATAGCTGGTCCCACGCCGCTGATATTTCTGTTAATATGACAAGTATCGTTCAAGGGATGCTTACGAGGTGGTTTTTGATGGGCCACGGCATCCACGTCCTCGACGAAAATTAGGGCCATGCCGCTGAAAGTTAACTGAGGATGGCGGTCGGAGGTAGCAGTGAGAAACTCACTCCTCAAGGTGCCAGTCTACATGACAGTGCAAAAACCCTAAGCGAGGTCGGATTCGCGATGAGTGGCTGCCTCTGAATTGCGCGACTCACATGGTCCAGGGTTGTCCGTTGTGAATCTGCATGCAGAGCGTTGCAATTAGACACTGTGTGCCAATCACACAGACTGCGTTACACACCGGAACGTGGTCAAATCGTCGGTGCTGCCACCCATTGAAACGACGTCCCTTACGACCTTCCAGGAATCGAAGCATGAATAGAATTCAGAACGCGATGAGGTGGTCATACCGGGTTGTCGAAATTGTACGTCGCGTTGCCGGCGCTGCGCACGACGTGGAACGTATGCTGAAAAGGTGTCAACCTGAGAGATACAGCATCCAACAGAACACACCCCGTGCAAATGAAATGGATGCTGCCTAAATTAACGATGGGGTTGTATTGTGTATGGGCGTGTAATCACGGGCGACCCGGACCCACCCCCCGGAATGCTTATTTGATAACTTTGTTGGGAGGTAAGGGGTACACCGAGCCCTTGGGGAGCAGCTCCTCCGCCTTTTGCGCGCCGGAAAGGATCTGGAGGAGCACGGGCACGGAGGGCGGGGCGTAGTTCTGTACAGTGCACATTAATATTGATGATGCAGGAATAGAGGTCGGATTGATTTGCACCACGCCATTCGTGAACCATTTGAGCGTCGTCATATTGCGAGTGATATCGAAATGCAGATTGATGTCCGCGCCGCCGGGGATGTGCGCGCCCGGGACGGGGCTGGGAAGCAGCGGGTGGAGGTCGGTCTCGACTAGCGCACGCGAGCCGCTCGATTGGGTTGTTGGATCGACGTCTGGCGCTCCGACGTATCTGAGGATCGCGCTGTTCGTCGCGTTCGCGAAAACGTCCGGCTGGCTGGCGGGCTTTACCGGAGGAGGCGACCGGATCCAGTAATTGTCGATCTCTTCGCCTGCATGGAGCACGAAGGAATAGCGCTGGCCCGCTGTAAATAAGCAGTGTCAGGAAGAGAAAAATGGAGAAGAATGGATGTTGTACGGAAAATCTCAATCGAATCGACCGCCAGGGCCTGGTGATTGATACCATCCACCTCAAGGATACTTATGGGGTGGTGGTCGATACTGCAGGTGGAACTGTGAGGGTGCGAGGAGACAGGCGGTACGTACGTTCGAACCTGAATTCGAACGTGGCATCACAAGACATGGATATTAAACGGAATCTTCAAAGATAAATCCTTGGAGTGGGTCAAAAGCCGACATAATAGAACCAAACCTGTAGCGCTGCCCGTGGACCACACGCACGACTGCGAGTTTAGATAGCGGCTAAAGTTAGAAGTATTAAGTAAAGTGAATCGAGGTCCTCATCAGAGATGAACGCA